TCATAACTCTAGTTGCTATTGGCCGGCATCCCGGGGGTGTTCTGCTGCCCATACCATGGAGCAGGCAGAATTTTAAGCCCACGCTTGCCGTGGACACGCATTCCCGCACGAACGATATCTCGGCCATTGGTCACCTTGCCTTCACCTAGTCGGAAAGTGAAAGGCTAACCATCCGTGCTGTAATCGGGGATTTGGCCATTCTCTAACTTTCCGGCCTGTGCAGTACACGTAGAGATTGCAGCCCTTGTTAGCAGTTACACCAGTTCACGCCTTGCTATCCATAGTAGTGGCACTTTGGATAACTCTCTGCTCGCTAGGTCCCATCTCCTCCCTCTTGGCAGTGACTGGAGATGCGGTAGGTCCCTGTTCCAGCTCACCAGAAAACCGCCGATTCTTAACCTCCCCGGCAGCTGAAAACCCAGTCACTTCAGTCGCCCTGACGTCTTTGGCCTTGAGCCTTTTCTATTTCTTCGTGGGAACCTTCTCCTCGGCCTCGGCCTTCTCAGAAGCTGGCTTTACTCCCTCAGTTATCCCGTTAATGATAGGGGGCTCTTCATCCTCAGGCTGGCACTACAAATATTCCTTGTCAGCTTTCATGTTAATCTTCTCCGCTGTCTGGATTATCTTATCCTTCCGCCTGGTTCCAACAATAAGAACCGGGGCCCTGGAAGCGCACCTGTCTCCCCTCTATCGACCTCTTGCGTACGTGGCGGGTTTTCGGGATCGTGTATTTCTCCGGAGGTGTTTCCCACATCCAAACAAAGTTTATCCTCATCACCAGGAAGATAGTACTTGTCACCGTGCCTACCATTGCTATCGAAAGTATCTCGTGGGCCAATAACGTAGTAACTGCTTGGATAGACATCACAGTTTCGGTCAACTTTGAAGTAAATGAATTCATCATTGCCAATTGAAAGATCTAGGGTTTGTTGATAATGCTTTTACAACAAGTTAGCCATCAAATTTGAAGAACAATATCACAACATCGGGCAGGGCCTTGCCTTTGTCATCTAGGGTTCGGGGGATCGAAGTCTCCAAGCTCTCAGATTCATCAGGGGTGCTGTTCACCTGGTCGCCCGCGATCTCGACATGCATCCTATGGCCGTTGCTCGGTTTTCTGTTAGGTGAGTGCATGCCCTATGTGAGCCCTTGTTATTTCTCTCCCCCGCCTGTTTGATTATTCGTCCCGAATAGTTGCCGGAATGAGCCATAGACTCGGGTAAAACTCTTAAGGCAGCACGGTTTGGCCTTCCCCCCCCATAAGGCTTAAAAAAGGCTCAATTTCTACCGTAGTCAAAAGCATCCGCGCTCGTCAGCATTTTCGGGGAAGCGAGTAAGCGAAGACGAATTCGTACGGTTGCAGGGAGAGCGCCAACCACCGGGATAAGACTCTGATCCGGTGAAATGTAGAGATTCCACGGGGCTAATGGGGGAAGAAACACCGTTGTACGGGCGGGATTAAGGTCGTGTAGGGTGCGATGTTGCGTCGGAAGATATGTCGGGAACATGGGCACCCTGGTGCCAAACATTTATGTACGAAGAAATATTGAGCCACTAAACACTGTAACAAACATGACCACTGTACTAGGACTCAAAATGACTCTCCCTGTGTACCCAACCTCTATTGTAAATCACCGGTACCCAGAGTAATAGTCCTATCGTTATCACCCCCACGATTGAGGGACATTGGAGATATCTCCGGGGCTAGAATTGTTTTCCTTTGTAATGCTTGTGAGTTTTTTATTTGTCAATGATGAAGAAGGTTCTGGAGCTTCTACAAAAAGGATTATGCAGTAGGAAGCACGGTTGGAAGACAAGGAAACCTGTAGCATGTGGGGATAGGAGGGCATAGGATTGGTTGACAGGAGCGGGGTAAAGAGAAGTTGGGAGAAGTCCAAGGAAATGTCAAGAAGAGGGGTAAAAGCGGGGTCACCTGGATTATGCTCAGAGACTGGAAGGAATTTTTCATTGTTGTCAGTGTATATAAGAGCATATGGTGACCGGAGAAGAAGAGAAGGATAAGGCAGACAATTGTTAGAAAAAGGAGAATACGAAATATTGATACCGGCGAAAACGAGAGACTTCCGGTGCCCAGGACGAGAAACGATCAGGCACAAATCACAAAAACCTCCCGACGCAGCCTCCGACATGACCCCGCAGCAGTAACCGATGGCATGCACTTTCTTAGGGCATGAGCGGGGTGCTAAGATTTCCTGAATTCCAGCAATCCAGGAGATAATGGTTGGGACCACCTCTCCCAAACAGATATCAGATCAAGGTTTTCCTCACACACTGAAATCATTAAAAGAGAGTGATACTTGGGTGCGGGGGAGAGAGTAGAAGTTGTCATCTCAGATGCTTAGTTCTAAAATGTGTGAGTGTGTACTAGTCCTAGCGCCGGTATAGTAAAGGCATTTTTTGAAGAAAAAGAAAAAGAAAAAGGTTCTCAGGAGGTCTTGGCTGCTAATCCCGTTCAGATTCTAAGAGCCACGTTCGTCAAGCTTTCCCTCAGTTTACTCGAGTACTCGAGTACAGTACCTCGTTTGCACTCAAGTATGTTAAGACTATGATCAAGCCTCACTGATGGGTAAAAACAAAAGGGATCCCGCCCATCCCCAGGGTTATATCACTACCAATACATACCGGTACTCGAGTGGAGGGAAGGAAAGACCGCCGCCCACCTTCTAAAAAGAAACCGCTGCCCCGAGCCGATACATACAGTGTAATAAAAGAAAGAAAGAAAACACCCCTGCCCATTTGCGCTCATCTCTAGTGCGAATACTAACCGTCTGATACTTATGATATACAAAAATTAATAGTGAAATTCCGTAAATACTTATACTCCAGTTGCGGCGGCCCAGCACCGCCCCAGCTCTACCTGTAGCATCTCACTCCGTCCCCCGTTTATCCCGTCCACTCCTCCTCCTTCTCTTCCAATTTGTATTCAACATCTAGGTTTGTATGCTTATAACAACACTCCCTGTCCCGTACCCCACGTGGCACCCACTCACCCCCCATAGGCTCGCCAACTAGGAGGCACCGCCCGGGTGTCTCGCTTGTCCACTGAAGATGCTGCTCGGAGAATTCCCGTCCTTGTGGTTCTCCCTCCGGTATTCCCCTGCAATGTTCCGCCTCCGACTCTTCGCCCGGAGAAGCAAGGAGGGTCACAGTTGCAGTTGGAGGGAGAGTGGTCGGGCTGTTGATGAGGGGGGGTGTCCGGTAAGAAGGGCTATGGTCGATATGGCGGGAGCAGTCGGGGCCAAGCTGCAAAGGGTAGTACAGGCAATGTTGGCATGGGGGAGGTTAGTGATAAAAATCAACGAAGGCCTTGTAGCTCACATTTATGAACCCCCCCCCTCGATGGTTTGAAGGGGTTTAGAAAATTCATTAAAATATATGGTACAATAGCTGGATCAAGACTGCAATATTATACAGCCAAGCGGAAGAGCTCAAGAGAAAAAGGTAAATAAAGAAAACTAATGCAGAATATATCCTTCGGTTGCCCTCAACACCTCTGCCTGCCTGCCTTCATCAATACTATCACCTTCAAAAAAAACTCTGATAATGCCGAAAAAAGTGAAAACCCTCAAGAAAGTTTGCCGGCGAACCCCCCCTCGGAGGTCATTTGGCAGACCCGCCCCCCGCGATCTCGCCAAAACCTTCATCGTAACATTGGGTACAGGTCGGGATCGAGGTAATGGCAGTACAGGGGGCGGCCGAGACCGAGACACAGGCGGCAGTGGAGGGAGCAGAGGTCCCACACTGATCGCCAGCTTTGTAAATAAGAAAGTAGGAACTTGCGAGGACCGAGGCGACAAGAGCGTTTTTGAGATATTTCTGGAACACAGGGGGAAGATCTATCCGGAGTGAGGTACGAACAGGAGACCATTGCGGAGACGGAGGTAAGGACGGATAGTAAAAATAATTGGGATAAGGATCATATGGGTAAAAATAATCAGGATAACGGTCGAAGGATGTAGGATAGGAGGAAAGCTTCGAGAGTTCGTACACAACCCTAAGCATCACACTCTATCCCTACACAATCTCACGTATGCCCCGACGGGTCTGCTAAAGTACTCATACTTGTGTGACCTTTGCGATGGCAACTCTTATAACGTACCACCATCGCCCAGCTTTATCGTGTGAATCCGGGGGTGATACAGCAGCAGACATGTTCATAGGTGTCGTTCGGTTATGTAGTAACAGTTTTGTCCCCAAGGCTGTGGGCACGTACGGGTATACCGGTATATAGGAACATCAGTTTAAGGTATCGAACTGCTTGGCGATTGGGCATTATCTGTGAAGGCTCCCACCCGGAACATAGATTTATTACCTGTATCCATACCACTAGCACACGAGTGGGGGGCATGTGAGACTCTAGCACCTGTACTCCGAGAATATCAACCTCTCCCCTTACCCATCACTACCGTTGTGGCGCCCGAGCACCCGAGCACCGTATTAACTCTTGCCATTTGCTATCTCCGCCATGTGACGAATATCCCTGTAAACCGATAGGCCATTCCGAGATGGGTCGGGCTTTATTCAGGATGAGATCAAATGTCCGTACGAGGTCATTTGCAATTGCATTGCGAACCGGTGATGCCCTAGCGCGCCATTTACGGACATTTAATCTCTGCCCGAGTATCAGCTCGACGAATTGTGAAAGGCTGTGGATGTGATCCAACATGCCAAATAACTTGGGCTATACCGTGCCAGGAGAGCACTAAGCTTTCTTAAGGACTATTTCCTCCAACGGTTAGGATTAGGAATACAACGGACATAGTGAATCGCAAGAGTTAATATGGTAGGATACTAACCGCGCTTGATGCATCGAAAAAAAATAAACAAGACTCAGCTCACCCTTCAGCTATCAATTGAGGCTGATGCACAATATTGAGCGTATTGCATAGAATAGGAGGTTTAGCGAATGAGGCACTAAGGAGATCTCGGCGAACAGCGATTTTTTTTGTCTGTTCGTTCGTTGAACCCCTTTGTTCGCCGACCACCCCGACCATGTTAGAGCATGAGAGGGCCCGGCGAGGGGACAAGGTCAGGGAGATGCAGCACAACATAGCCTTTTGCTGCTGCTGACAACACGTACTCGGGTGGCCTCTCACTACCAAATATTGCCAAGCCACACTTAGGGTATAGCCTCACGAAGCCCTCTCATGATCACCTCAAAAGGACAGTCTTTCTCCCACCGAAAACACAAACCATCGTCGAGAAAGACCCACCAGCGCTATACAACGATAGATTTGGCAACAGGGTGAGGGATTCTAACCCCCAAGAAGGTCTCCATATAAAGTGGCCACCATATTCCGTTAATCAGGCAATTAACTTTCTGACTCACAGACTGTCTCGGAAAAGTGAGCTGGTCAGTTTTGTGGGCTCGAGACCACCATATAATCCATGGATTGTACGTGCCTATCATTACAATCTAGGTTCCAGTTTCTTTCTCTAACTCTTTACTATAGCTATCATCAACTCCAAGGTCGAGTCTAAGAATCCTGACCCCCAAATGGATATCACCCAGAACTCTACACCCGATCTTACCTGTCCGTCGTCTCCAGGCGTGAGCCTAGCCAATCAGTTTTGACCACTCTGCAGGGAAGCACCACTTCTCCATACGTCCCTATCTCGCCTATGGAGGCCAAGCACTACTATCACGGGCTGTGCTCAAGACCAATCCTAGTAGCTCGTTCTGGCACCGATACTTGGAACCCCCCTGCGGGCCCTGTGGCGGACCTCCCATGCAAGGAGCTTAGGCCCATCAGCAGTCACCCTATCAGGGCCGTCTAGGACAAGCTCTTTACTCCGGTCGATAACATTCTCAGATCCAAGGGGGTCGAGTTTACCAGTATCGAGGTGCTTCGCATTGGGATGGAAGGAGAGCGTGTGGCGCCAGCCGTCGTCTGGATTGGCGTCAAGCCTGGCTCTGTCTCTGGTGAAGACGGTTTCGCTGCTGTAATGGAGTGCAAAGAGCTTCTGATGGCACACCAGCTCCTGGACGTCGAAGTCGAGATCCACGAGTTAGTCAGGCCTTTCTGATAGCACAATCCGGAAAAAGGATATGGGAGAGCCGGTGTTATGGAGATGAAAGGATGTATGGGGAAGGATAGATGCGAACGATACGGTAGAAAGTGTGAGCTATTATGTTGTTAGGTGGCTGCTTTGTTTGTTTGATAATTTCTGGCACGGCCAGCCCTCTTTGTGATGGCTGCTATTACCTTCCTTGTATTTAGTCTTCTTGCAGTGCTTCTGAAGCAAGAGACAAACTACTCCTCTCATCTCACCTTGGCCTTCTACGTAATTAGGTGTGATTGTAATCTGAGTTAAAATTGCTGCCACTACATTATACACGAGATGCCATCGCGCCCTAAGTACACGTTACTTGGCCACCATCCTTTCCCCAGGTGCGATCCCCAGTTACATGGGGGCGGCTGGACTGCCCAAACTGTATTCTGTCTCCGACCCTCGGTCCCCCCGCGTCACCATCCATGATACCGATCCAGGGAAAATTCCCCTGGCAATAAGGGCTCCCCAGCCCCCATCATATTAGCAAACACTGCTTAGTGAAGGCGCCAGCGTAGAAGTCGACCGGGTAGCCGACGTAGATTATTGAGGAAAATCTGATATAGCTGGCGCCCAGCGATGTGATGGTGAGCGAGATCAGGTTTGAGCCACACGATACAGTAGTTATCCTACGCAATTGTTAGCCACCAAGACTTCAAGTCAAACGATATGCGCATTGCGGTTGAGAGAAAGTTGGTTCTGTACTGAGCCGATGGTCCTGTCGGACTCAGGGGCTGGAGGAACGGTAATCAAATTACCGTAGTTACCGTCGTTCCCGCGCTGCTCGTATGCCGGTGGAAAGGCGTGAGCAGATTCGGGTTTTTCGGCCAGCCAATGTGAGCTAGCCCTGCTGGCCTGCCACGTATAACGCATCGCATCTCTCGCTCACGCCCATGATCACGGAATGACGCAGCACGGTTCCCAATAGCAATGAGGCCGTACGAGTTAGCGTGACTTCGTCGGCGATAGTCATGGAACCCATTCAGGGTAAGTAGTGCCCAATAGCGGAAGTACGGATGAAAGCTACCATTAGTGACAATGCAAGAATTTCCTCGTGGAAGCATTTTCCCATCCCTCTCAACTAACTGTTCCCTGGCGTCGTGTAGATTGGAAGTATCAGTACAGTAGTAGAAAATCTCCCCTACCCCTATGGAATAAATATTGACGACTGTAATACCCTATGCGGCCAAGAGGCTACCAAGGACTTTATCGCGATGAGCAGAAGCTGGAATGTGAGTATCACGCAACGCTGGCGGATTTCCCGGCGGGAGGTTTGCCCTACCATCTCGAGCTATGGCGGACAAGATGAGATGCTAAGAAATGAGTCTTTGCGGCAAGAAGGCTTGTGGATGCGGCCGACAAGATACAAGGTGGCATCCAAAGAATACCCAACTTACACAAACCTTACCCAGCAACCATGTAATTCCTGCTTCCAAAGCATGATGAATACCAGGCAAACGTACCATACAACAACGCGGCGAAAGGCTCTCACTAGACCTGTTTCTCTTGGCCACTGGCGAACCGAATTTTGTGCTCTGCAGCAAAACTTTCTCCTGGCAGGGACACCCAGGGAAATTTGGGCGATGGAGCAGAAACTGCGCTAATCTCCCTTGGCTTCGATCGCCAGGGAGACCGTCGTGTCCACCTTCCATCCCTTAGGCTCGGAATAACCGCCGGCACCGCAAACTGTCCGTGACCAGAGGTACTATCCAGAAGCTCCGCTGCCGTGTGGGCCAGCACACAGAGATTCAGTCCCGTCCAGACTACCAGGTGGGAGCTCACCTCGGAAATCATGACCACAGATACACCCAGGATCATACTCCGATAGAGGCCATACTGACCGGTACTGTACTCCGTTTGCGCATTCTGTGCCCAACACCACAGCAAAGTACACATTATCATGGAAATGGCGGGAATGAGATTGTCTGCGTAAATTACTCTCCAGGAGAACCCTCCACCGAGCGGAAAAACGCCTAAGGTAAGAAATTGGTTTATCATAGGCCAGGCGATCACTGCGCTTTGTGGGTGTCAAACTTCCACTCGGCACCATGAGTACATCAACCTCAGTTTACCCAGCAGACAGTGGTATGTTGGATCGACTCTAGAACATCAATTTAGGTTCCTTCGTTTTGCGCGGCACACCCGAGGATGAGCTATAGTATTATAGGAACTGGCCGATAAGACTGGCACCGTGGGCAGCATAATATTAATGTCCAATACGCCCAGTGGGATTGATGACAACCAAGCACCGCACCCTATCCCCAATCAACCCGCGCACCGCCCACCATGAGGCCCCCGCTAGCCGGTGTATTTCCACAGCCCTCGGCAAATATACAGTCAAGTATGGGTTCGTGGGAGGCCTCACCGAGGCATGCCAGCGCTCGGCATTTAGGATATCTCGGGTGCAGTGGTAAAAACTTTCACCCCCCCACTGTGCGCTGTGCACCGTTCCCCCTATCTGCCAATACCAAATTTCCCAATATCAATATCCATGGACTGTCACCATATCCCCCCTAATGATAATATCACGATGAAGCCAAGGGGAATGCGTGAACAGCACGCAGATGGTGTCCAGCTATAGAGGGTAAGAAAGAGGCCCCTTCCTTTTGATCTGCCCTTATTTCGATTATCGGATATCACTCAGCCTTTGATATTTGTTTTAGTTTGTATGTAGAAACCCTCCCTGTGTCGGAAGTGCACCACACGTATGCTTACCCCCGAATACACTTCATGCAAGGACGATGAAAACAATGCCTCCCAAGGACGGCCAAGAAAGGTTCCATTAATTTACACGGTAGGCCCCTTTGGAAAAAATAGGGAAACCAGCGAATACATTATTTTGCAAAAAAAAACCATTTCCGTCAGCGTTTGCTTGTGGTTATTAAATATGGGTGAGTTTCACCATTGAAAGAAAAGGTAAAAAAATGTTGGCATTGAGGGTTTTAGGGATACTAAGGAAAAGGAAGCGCACCTCCATAAACCCAACTGTTATTGGCCGGAATTCCGGGAATTTTCTGGTTTCCATAGCACATAGCAGGCAGAATATCAAGCCAACGTTCACCGCCGACACTCGTTCCTACAAGCCCAACCTCGCAATCCTTGATCACCTCGCCTTTGCCTAGCCCGAAAGTGAAAGGCTGGCCATCCATGTTGTAATCGAAGACTTCGCCATTATCCAACTTTCCGACGCAGTACCCACAAGTTACAGCTTGCAGCCCTTCTTAGTTGTAGTGCCAGTTCCGAGCCTGCCATCCACCATAGTGGCTCCTCAGATAACTTTCTGCCCGCCCGGTTTCATCTCCTCCCTCTTGGCAGTGACTGGAGACCCTGTGGGTCCCTGTTCAAGCTCCCCCGGCAACCACACATTCCCGAGGTCCCCGACAGCTGAAAACTCGGCCTGTTCATCCACCCTGCCGTCGTTGGCCCCAAGTCTTTTGCTTGCTTCATAGAACCCTTCTTCTCGGAAGCTGGCCTCACTCCATCAATTATCTTATTGATGATACGACACTGTTCATGCTTGAGGGGTCGCCGCGGAGATTCCCTGTCGGCTTCCCTGCCAAAATTCTCCTTTTCGGTTATCCCATCCTTCTTCCTAGTGCCATCAGTAGGAACCGCAGCCCTAGAAGCGCCCCCTGGGTTCTCTCCGTCACCCTCTTGGACGCGTGAAGGGTCTTCAAGGTCGTTGATCTCTCCGGAGGCGTTTTCCTCACAAAGCTCATACTCATCACGAGAGAGATCGCAGTTGCCACCGTGCCCACCATTGCTACCTTACGTATCCCGTGGGCCAACAACACGGGAACCACCCAGACAAACATCGCAGTTTCCGTCAACTTTGAAGTAATTGAATTCATCAATGCTAATGAAAAGATCCAGGGTCTGTTGATAATACTTTTACAAAAAGTCAGTCACGAAACTCAAAAAACCGTACATCGCGGAAGCCCCTGCCTTAATGAAATCCAGAGCGCAGACAACCGAAGTCTCCACCCTTTCTGATTCATCAGTGTCCTCGATGGAGCAGTTCAGATTGTTATCAGCGCACTCGACATCCATCATCATATCTCCGTTGCTCGGTTTTCTGTTAGGCGATCGCGTGCCCCTATGTGAGCTCTTTGTTATTTTCATCTCCTCTTTGTCCGATTCTTCCTCCCAAATAGCAGTCGGAATCACGGGTAGATTCCGGTCAAACCTTTAAGGTAGCGCGGTTCGGCCCCCCCTCCCATAAGGCTTAGGAAAGGTTCACTTTCTGCCGTAGTCAAAAGGACCTGTGCTCGTCAGCATATTCAGGGAAGTGAAGAAACAAAGCGGAATTCTTACAGCAGAATGGAAAACGTCAGCCGCCGGGACAGGACTCGGTTGAGTGAAATATGGAGATTCCTAGGGGCGAAGGGGGGAAGAAATGGTATTCAGGGCGGGATTAACGTCGTGCCTGGGGGTACGCAACGCCGGCAGATTTGTCGGGAACCTGAGTACGCGGGTGGCAGATATTTAGGTATGGTGGATTTAGCTTTATCTATTTTACTAAATTCTGAAAGACAGTTTACGTAATCCAATCTGCCAAGTGACTAAGGTCATGGAGTATCAGTGGAGAACTGCGCCTTAAGACCTTTTCGCTCTGAATATTGATATTAGGAATAAAGCGGAGATTGTGAATAGCAAGAGTTAATATGGTATGATGCTAACCGTGCTAGATACATGCAAAAAAAGACTCTGCCCACCCTTCCGCCACTAGTTGAGGCTGGTACATAACATTGAGGATTGTTCATCGAACAGGGGTTTAGCGAGTAGATTTAGGGCCTGTTTAGATGAAATGGTTCCATTCCGTTAGCCCATACACATGACCATTTCCTTCCTTTTCGAAGAGGTTGTTGCCAAAAGGCTGTTTCGTATACCCGCTATCAATCTTTCCGTTTCTATGGTTGACGGTTAGCAACAACCTGTTCCACCAGTCAAACCATTCTACAACGGAATGGTTACCACTTCTTCCTTTTTTACAAAACAGGCCCTTAAGGTACTAAGAAGGCCTTGGCGAACAGCGGCTTTGTTTAATGTGTTCGTTCGTGGAGCCCCTTTGTTCGCCGACCGCTTCTCCTATGATAGAGTGTGAGTGGGCTCGGCGAGGAGACAAGCTCAGGGAGGTGCATCACAGCATGGCTTTTTGCTGCTGCGGACGGCACTTACCCGCGCAGCCTCTCACTACCGGCTATTGCCAAGCCTCACTAAGGGTTAGCCCCGCGAAACCCTCTCATGATCACCCTCAAAAGGACAGTCTTTCTCCCACCGAAAACACAAACCATTGTCGACCAAGACCCACCAGTGCTATACAACGATAAATTTAGCAACAAGGTGAGGGATTCTAACCCCCAAGGTCTCCATATCAAGTGGCCACCATATTACGTTAACCAAGGAATTAACTTTCTAACTCACAGACTATCTCGGAAAAGTCAGCTCGTCAACGTTGTGGGCTCGACACCGTATAAACCATGGATTGTACGTGCCTACCATTACAATCTTCGTTCCAGTTTCCTTCTCTAACCTCTTACTATAGCTATCATCAACTCCAAGGTCGAGTCTAAGAATCCTGATCCCGAGATGGATATCACCCAGAACTCTGCACCTGGTCCTGCCCGTCCGTCGTCTCCAGGCGCGAGCTTTACCAATCAGACGACCTCTCCGCAGGGGAGTACTAGTTCTCCATACGTCCCTATCTCGCCCATGGAGGCCAAGCACTACTATCACGGGCTGTACTCAAGAGCGGTCCTAGTAGCTCGTTCTGGCACCGATCCCTGGATCCCCCCTGCGGGCCCTGAGGCGGACTTCCCACGCAAGTACCTTAGGCCTGTAGGCAATCACCCTATCACCGAAGTCTGGGACAAGCTCCTTATTCCGATCGATAACATTCTCAGATCCAAGGGGGTCGAGTGTACCAGTATCGATTTGCCTCGCATTGCGGTGGTAGGAGAACCTGTGGCTCCAGTCGTCGTCTGGATTGGCGTCAAGCCTGGCTCTCTCTCTGGTGAAGACGGTTTCGCTGCTGTGATGGAGTGCAAACAACTTCTGATGACACACCAGCTCCTGGACGTCGAAGTTGAGATCCGCGAGTCAGTCAGGGTTCTCCACTGATCTCGTAATCCCAGAAAAAGGACGGAGGAGAGCGGGTGTCATATATAGGGAGGGGCACACGGGGGCTGTACGGCGAGGGGTCTGAGCCATTGTTTGATGGATGACGGTTTTGCTTGTTTGATCGTTCCCAGCTTGGTCAGCCATCGCTGTTATCGTAGCTATCTCATCCTTTATATTCTTGCAGTGATGCTGAAGCAAGAGACAAACTACGCCTCTCACCTCGCCTTAGCCTTCTACATGATTAGATGTGATAATAATCTAAGTTGAAGTTGCTACCACCACATTATGCCCGGGATGTCATCGCGCCCTAAGTACACACTACTTAACCCCTAACCATTCCTCACGTGCGGTCCCCTGTTACATTAAAACAGCTAAGCGTTTCAAACTGTATTCTATCTCCCGCTTCTGATTCTCTCATGTCACCTCCTATTGTGTCACTCCAGGCGGGAGATCCCTCTCGCAACAAGGCTCCCCAGCCCCCATCATCTTGGGAAACAGGGCCTGGCCAATTTGCCATTGTAGAAGCCGAACTGGTGGCCGATGTTGACAATTGAGGAAAGTCTGATCTAGCTGGCGACCTGCGATCTGATAATGGGAGAGATCAGGTGTAAAGCACACGATCTTGTAGTTATCTTACGCAATTATAAGCCAGGAAGACATCAAGCTCTAGCCATTCATACTTTGGAAAAAAGCAGTAAAACGATAGACGATTTTGGTTGCGACCAACATCTAATGCTTTACCGAGTCGATTGCTCTGTCACACTCAGGGGCGGGAGGAACGGTGATACAACTACCGTGGTTACGATCGTTCCAGTGCTTTTCGTATGCCAGCGGAAAGGAGCAGCAGCTTCGGAGTTGGCATTCCGGGAATATTGTTGTTTCCGTAGCACGTAGCGGGCAGAATATCAAGCAAACGTTCACCGCCGACACGTATTCCGATAAGCCCAACCTCCCAACCTCTGACTTCCTCACCTTTCCTAACTGGAATGTGAAAGGCTGGCTATTCGTATTGTAATCAGAGACTTCTCCATTCTCCCACTTTCCGATGCAATACACATAAGGGACAGCTTTCTGCCCTTCTTAGCGGTAGCGCCAGTTCTGACGTTGCTATCAATAATAGTGACTCAGGATAACTCTCTGCCCGCTCGGTTTCATCTCCTCCCTCTTTGAATTATCTAGAGACACTGTAATTCCCTGTTCAAGCTCTCCAGAAAGCCAGGCATTCCCAACCGCGCCGGCCGATGGATAAGTAGTCGCTCCAACCGCGCTGCCATCATTGGCCTTGAGCTTTTACGGTGCTTCGTAGAAACCTTCCCTGCACCGGCCTTGTGCTCGGAAGCTGGCCCCACTCCCTCAATTGGCTCACAGATTATCTGCAGCTCTTCACCCCCGGTCAGGCGCTTCAATGATTTTTTTTCCGGAATTCTCGTCGATCATCTCCGCTTTCCCGACTATTCCATCCTCCAGCCTAGTGCCAGCAATGGGAAACACAACTAGTGTTGTTCACGAGCCGGCTCGAGCCGAGTCCAGACCTGGACTCGAGCCCAGGTCGCACCCAGACTCGAGCCGCCAAGAGGCTTGAGTCTAAAGTGGCCACGATACCTCTACACACTGCCATTATCACTCAAATCAACCAAAAATTGTATATAGCAACTTGAAAACAAATACAACTAGCCAAATGACCTTCCCACGATCCCCGAGTCCAATTCCTGACTCGAGTCGGCTCGTGGACCCCTGTTCGAGCCTAATGACCACCTAGGCTCGAGTCCACTTGGCTCGAGGCCCCTCAGGCTCGAAGGGCTCGAGCCCGGCTCGGCTCGAGTCTGGCTCGAGTCCGCTCGGCTCGTGCACAACACTAAACACAACCCTGGAAGCATCCCCTGCCTCCTCTTCATCGAGCTCTAGGATGCGTAAAGGGTCTTCAAGATCATTGAGGACTCCGATAGTCTAGTGCCAGGTCTCGGATCGTCATGTTTCGAGAGATTATAAGCAAAAATCTGGGCTAAACCCGATTGTACAAAACTCTTGACTGCATTTGTTACAAATTATTTGGCAGTCTGACTTTGGCTCAATTGTGGGCCCACTGTGCATTAAAACCAAGCCTTGCAATGGGTCGGACCTTCCTTGAGCTAGCCCGGGCTATTCGTTGGGCTGGGTCGGGCTCATTGGGCTGGGCGGGCTGAGGGGGGGACAAGCCCGGGCCCGGCCAAGGATTAGCCTTATTTTTAAGGTTTGTATGGTGTCTTGCAATCCCTATCACTGCGGAAACGATTGTCCGAGTACATGGCTTTCCAGAAGCGCGTTACTACAAGCGGTAAGATCCAACCCAACCATCTCTACTCCCGCGGCCGAGTTGAAGTTGGACACCCACATAGGGTAGTAATTGCCGGGCCAATAACAAACCGATGTAGGGCAATACAATTAATAATCACATACGATATAGAATAAAAACGCTGTGTGTTCACATACATACTACATGACCTGGCAAGCCATCGCATACCCATATAACCCGGAATATA